AGCCAAAGTCAGACACTTAACCCACTGAGCCACCCAGGCGCCCTGATGTTTTAATTTTTAGGAAATGATTATTTATGTATAACACTAAAATATGAATAGATAAAATATGAAGTCTTGGGCTTGCTTTATAATGCTGGCGAGGGGAGTAAATGGGGGAGGGTATAACTGGCTATGAATTGATAAATGTCAAAACTGACTGATCACTGCATGAGAGCCCACTATAATTACTTTTACATCTACTTAAAAGTTTGCCACCACTATACATACAAAATGCAAAGTCCACTCTCTGTAACATTTGCTGCGGATGCTTCTACTCAGTACCACCACCACCATCACTGCCCTCTTCACCAGCAATGCGCTTACAGAGTCCTTAGTAGCTGTCAAACAGTCTCGATTCTAAGACCTGGTAGTGACGTCATCCCCATCTGACCAGGAAGGAAACCGGGTCTGAACTTAGGCTGCTGGGCATCACTACTGACATTCACAAGTACGCTGTACGTGGTCTAAAAGGTTTTTGTTTTTCTATTTTCAAGGCTTATAACAAACAGATTACTAATGATAACCACGTTAAAGGAACTTAGGTGAAGCTCAAAAAACAACTTATTTAGGAAAGTTCCCCATCATCCATGCGAAGACTACTTTTTCTGAAGTTGGCCATGTTCTTGGTGCCGCCAGATGCTGAAATGCCTTCATGGAGGATTCTCCATTTTAAAAGAGAAATTAATGAGTGTGAGTGCACACAGGCTTCAGCTCAGTGGGAATGGAAAGCAAAACCAGGAAAAAAGAAAGGAGTCCCCAGAGAGTGGGGGAAGAGCTCCCAAAAGGGCATGGCAGGGTGATGGGAGGTAAGGCCTGAGGAGGAGAAAGGAGCCCCAGCAAGTAACGGGAAGCTGGAGTCAGCGAAAAGAAGTTCTGTGGGAAAGTCTTGCTGGTGAAGGTCTCTAAACTCTATGTGCAACATTCAATTACACTGTTTATTTTGTGACATAAATTTTCCTCCCACCAAACACCTTCAGCAAATCACCTCACAATATCACATTTACGATGAGGGTGCAAAAGGGCATTAAGAGCCACATTATTCTAAGCCAAACGAGGATCTGAGCAGGACCGAATCTACTTTCTTTGCATTTCAAAGCTCCAAATTCACAAGTCTCAGAAGGACCCACTAAAGCGTCAATGTCTCATTTAACCCGGTGAGTTTTAACAAATGTAACATTTACATTATCTCCTCTCTTTCAAAGAACTTTCTCACCACAGATGATTTTAACTGGCAAAAAAACCCCACAAACCAAAAAACCAAAACCAAACAAACAAACACCCCATGGTTGGGTAGAGCCATTTGACAAAATGCAACCATTTTAAAAAATGTCTTTGAAATTTTAAAACACAGACATCTACTTAGGGAACTATGGTTAATTGACAAGTTAACCAAAGGCTTGCCCACCCCAAATCTCACCAAGATAAAGTTTATCCTTCAAAAAATAAGTAACAAAAGAAACTACAAATATTTTAATAATTAAACATAATCTGCGCTGTTACGATACCTAGCGAATCAGGAGTAAGCAGCACAGGAAAAGGACGCCTGTCAAATAACGTAACTGCTGGCACTCGGGTGGCAGTCTATCTTGGCAAAAGGAACCCCTCTCTGAAACTACCGACCAACGGACAGCATTTATCCAAGAGCTTCTTGGAGTGTTCCTGTCTCCAAAAAGTAGTACCTTGATCCTTCTGTGGTGACGGCTTGGATTTGTCAGGTACAGATGAACTGGAATAAACTACAGCACCAGGCACTGGTCCTAGAGAAAGCGTGTGGTTTGAGACATCATTTAACGAAGACACGGCCCCCCAGCTAGCAGAACCTGCATCCATGTCTCCAGGTGAGGCCGCCTCCGAGCTGCCAGGCGGATTCTGATAGGCTGGTGGGTCTGAGGCTTCAGAAGCTTTGTCAACTATGGTCATTGTTCAACTCTGCAAAAGACGAAACGCATACAGTTGTTTCATAAAGTGAGAAAAGGAATCTACTTTATTATGAGATCTTAGAAAATTATCCTAGCCACACTTCGTTACTGTCAAACAAGTCACCGTAATATAAAGGCAGAGGTATTTTTTAGGTCTGAAATCACTTCCTTGGGACAGTTAGCACTGTGCTCATCTAAACATGTCAGCATTTTTTAAGTATAAGCCCTTCAATGAAATATTTGATTAGATCTTGTCATTCTATTCCAAGACCTCTAAAAGTCTCACGTTTCTGTTTATAATCAGGTACCTCAATTTCCAATTCTGTATATTTACCAAGAACCTACATATTTTTTCCTTATTGCTTAAAACTAGCATGTGAAATGTGCCAATCCATTTGACTCAATTTTAATTTCATATAGAATTCATCAGGGAAAAATCTCAACTCCATGAAGAGAAAAATCTAGCTTTAATTTTGAGCTTAAAGTCCAAAATGACTTGTTTGAAACACATTTAAAAAAAAAAAAAAAAGCAAGTCTCACGGCATCTGGGTGGCTCAGTGAGTTAAGCATCTGACTCTAGATTTTGGCTCAGCTCATGATCTCTCGGTTCGTGAGACTGAGCCCCGCATGGGGTTCTGGGCTGACCGCACAGAGCGTGCTTGGGATTCGGTCTTCCTCTCTCTCTGCCCCTCCCTTGCTCGCTCATTCTCTCTCTCAAAATAAATAAACTTAAAAGAAAAAAAGGAAGTCTCACATTTGAAAATTTTTTCTGAGTAGGCTCATTTATTTGGTGTATGTACACGACTTTTTTTAAGTGAAGCCCATAGCATAAAACATTACTGACATCAAACTTGAACACAAATACTTATTATAAAAGTAATTATGTTTTCTCTCTGGATCTTATTTCTCAATCCTGGGGCTACTACTAATTAAGCATTTTCTATGTGCTGGACACTGTGTTAATCATGAACACACATAACTTAAACTTCATAATGGACCTGACCTGTGAGAGACTGCACAGACTCCACGGGGTCTATAAAACGGAGCGACTCTGACCCAAACTAGTCAGTCCCTAGGACAAGGCACCCGGCCCAACATCCCCGGCTAGGGCTCCCTCCAGCTCTACGGACCTAGTCAACGGAGTACAGGAATGTAAACTGCCCAGGGAAACCCAATCTCGTGTGCCACTCCTCCGTAAGTACCCTTTCTCCCTGGCCTGGCCTGGCGCCCCCCACCCAGCATCTTAACACCCAGACTTGTCGCTGCCTGACCCAGGAACCTCTCCACACACTCCCCACCTTCCATTCTCACCTGCTCTCTCTGGGCTCTCCCTCGCAGTTCTTCCTCTCCTAACTCCCCTCCATCCTTCCACCTCCGGCCGGTTAACACTTCCACTTTTCAGTTTAGAATCCATCTCCTCTGGGACGTCTTCCTTGACGACATCCGTCCCCCAAGGCCGGGTCAGAAGCCCTCCCGCAGGCCCCCACGGCAGCCTGGTGCGGATTCTGCGGTAGCGCTTCCGCCCGGACTTACTCCACGGGGGCTCCACCCGTTGCTCCCCATCATGCTTGCATTTCTATCCCCTGACCTGGAACCCAGAACGTTTTCCCCACATGTGCCCAACAAACGAATGAATCCTGAGGATAGGAAGGAACCAGCGTTTGCATTTAGCACCGGTTTGTGCTCAGTGACTTGCATACACTATCTCATTCACATACTGTATCTCATTTCTACTCTGAAGCAGGAATAGCCTTTAAAACGTGTTTTAAAAAATATTCAATACAGTCAAGTTGAAGGATGATAAACATCCACATGTGTGCCACCTCAACAAATGCTGTGGTGCACAGTCTGCTCACAAGAAGGTTTAAAGAAAAGCCTCAATTCTATTTCAATTCTATTGTAATTTAAAATTACGGCATAATTATAGCCCCCCCCCCCCAAAGCACAACCTTGAGAAATTTTGGGGATCTTATGTAGAAATAAAAAAGTAGACGTTAGATTAGATCTTAATAAAATCAGAAATGAATTGTAAGTCAATCTAAGATACAGGATCTTCATTCAGGAGGAAAGCTTGAGCTGTGTTATCCAAATAAAGTCTACTCCATGGAACACAGTGAAGGCAAGAGTAAGAAAACAAAAGAAGAGGAAGAGGAGGAGCAAAAAGAAGAAAGCCAAAACAGAGTACTGAGGAAAGGTTAATTCAGCCTTATTTACAATAACATTTAATAGCAAAAACCTCGGTTTTCCCAGGATAAACATCCCTTCAGGACAATCATTAACAAATGACCAAATAAAGCCATTTTACTTGCTCTGATTGCCATGGGGGAGGGGGGGGTCTTAAATGAAAATAATTAAGGAAAGCCTACTACTCAATCATCAATAACCATTTACCATTATAATTTGGGGAAAACAAACCCAAACTATCCATTTGTCTTCATTTGTATATTCAGCCAATGATTACTTATTCTAAAACCATCAAGTATCAAACTCAATTATGTCTGCTACAGAGATAACCCTTCTAGAAGCCAAGCAATACTGTATACAACCTAAGACTCATAAGATTCATACGGTTACGTGTTCTTTACTCTCAGTACAGCTTCTAAGAGTCACTGTTATATCAGGACTTTTAAGCAACTACTTCAAAGAAAAGTTAAAACTTCTCTCAGCATCTTGTGATGATATACAAAAAGTTACAAAACCATGTGTGAAATAAACAAGTACACGAATCAAGGTTGGATGTGCCGGGAGGAATGAGACAACAAATCGGCTTTACAAATGTTTCCTTTGCTTTAACTACAATCCTTTATTCAAAAGTTTTTAAATGCTCAGTCCCTTAAATGATATTTCTATCAAATACCAGAATGCATTATTCTTTCTCGTTTTAAAAATAAGCATATGGCTGTTTTAAACCTTGTAGCACTCCACATAAAGGTAACAATATCAATATATGTAAAAAAAAAAAAAAAGAAAGAAGAAACTGATACACTCTGCTTCTTCATAAACAATGTAATCCACGTTCTTGTAACATTTCTACTTAAGAAGAAAACACACAAGCTTTAAAAAAGATAACAGCCTTGATTTCAATTACTTTTCAGTAAATGAAACGACTAGCCTTAAACCCTTACAAACCACTGTGGACTTGATTCAGTGATAAGAAAAGAAAGCGAAACTGACCTTAAATAAAAAACAAATCAGTAAAACTGATTATTCCTATCTCCTATGCACTTCGAATGAGTGATAGTCAAAAGAGTAAAATTATAGGTTCAAAATTTACAACTCAAAAATCCGGAGACTCCACGAAAATGCATGAGAACCTGTAATACTGCTGTTACCTTGAAAAAGAGGTGTTAACGAAACAGTTTCTCGACCAGCTTTACTGTTACCTGAGTGTATCCACTTTAAATAACCAACATGTTTCCCCATTAAACAAGTAAACCCTGAGGCCTCCCTGAACAGAAAAGAGCTATTCAACAAAAGTGATGTCTACTACATTCATTATAACAAGGTGAAAGTCCTAGATTGTAAAACTTCGGTCCCGTCAAATTTTCATCTCAAACATCTGAAACTGATCACCCTCTCCCGCGACCCCCTCCAGGTAACCTGGCTCTTCTTGCCCCGAAAATAAAGAACAGGACCGAGGCGCACACGCTTTTGGGGACGCGCCGCTTGGGCGGTTGGCCCTTCCGCCCCCGCCTCCCCCGAGGGTGCCCGCTCCGCCCCGGCGGCCGGCGTGGGGAACTCGGACACTCGGTGGCGGAGCCAGGTGGACGGCCCCGCGAGGGGCGACCGGCGTGCCGCGAAGGGGCGCCGGGGTGGGAAAGTTTGTCTGTCTCTGGGGGTGGGTGGGGTGGGGAGGCGAGCCCGGTCTGACGTTTCTCGGGGGCGGGAGGTGGCAGCCACGCGGGGCGGCGCGGGCGGTCAGACGCCGGCCTGGCGGTTATGGCGGTCGGCGCAGGTCGCCCACCGCGGGCTGGATTCAGGTGGCCAGGTTGCCTGGAGCCGTTCGCTGGTTCGGGCCCGGCCCACGGCCGAGGGGGGCGGGTTGGGCCGGTGGGGGCGGTGAAAGTAGCAACCAGGGGGTTCACCTCCCCGCGAGTACTGAGCCCTGGCGCCCGATCGACTGTCTCCCGGCCGCCGTCTCTCCCAGCGATTCGGCTCCGGCCGGTATCAGCGGCGCTGCCACCGGCGCCGCGGGGTCCCGGGCGGCCCGCGGTTGCGGAGGGGCGCAAGCGAGGTCAGCGCGCCAGTTCGAAGGCCGCGCCGGTTCAGGGCGGGCCGGGCCAGCTGGCCGAGGCGATGGGCGCTCGAGGGTCTCCCCACGTCGGCCAGCGCGGCGGGAGGCGGAAGCTTACACCTGATCTGGCTCGGCGTCACCCATCCTCCCCTCGGTTGTCGTCGCTCGCCGCCGCTGCCGCCGCATCGACACAGCCCAGCCGCCCGGCGGGGGACAATGACGTGCCCATCCGGCATCCTGCCTCCGGTCAGTTGCGTCCGCAGCGCCCCGCCGCCGGTCGTTAGGGCGCGCCAGGGTCGTTCGGTAACGCGCGTCGTCGCCCAGGGCCGTCGCATCAAGAGGCGCGGCGCTCAGCTAACGGGCCGGGCCAGCGCGGAGGGGCCGTCGTCAGCGCCGCGGGCGCAGCTGGCGCGCGCGCTGGAGTATACGGGCGCCGCGTGAAGCGGGGGCGCTGGGATTGGCCGAGCCGCTGACAGCGGCGCGGGCCGGGGCGGTCCTTCCCCTCCGAGCCGTCGGCGGGAGCGGATCGAGCAGGCGCGCGGCGGCCGCGGGGCCCGAGCCAGGCTCTGGCTGCTCCTGGGCCCGTCCGGCCTAAGCGGGGACGCGGCGGACCTGGGCGCCCCCCAAACGGACGTGGCTCGGGGAGAGCCTCTCGCGCGCGCCGCGCCGCTACCCCTGCGGCACTCGTCCCTCGGCCTAGCGACCCAGCATTTAAGGACGCCGGAGCCAGCCGGGCGCCAGCTCGCAGACTTCATAAACTGCGTGAC